AATTGTTTGTTTCCTTACCATCTTGCCATTTTAACTATTTATGACCAGGAGTGTCCCACCAGTGACCTGTGAGGACAGTTCATGCAATCTGTGGCCTGACATATGACAGGCACTTCATGGGTGTAGGTCAACTTGACTGCAGACGCAGTCAGCCCTGTTGCGAGGTTGGCTTTAGTGAAGTTAACAGCAGCTCTGGAGGGACTGGAAACCACTTTGCTGGATTAAACAAACCTGCCTATTTCAGTCTACCATGTTAGGATATAATTTAAAACTTTGAAACCAGAGAAGCGAAATCATCCCTTTTGGTTCTATTTCTTGTGCTGATCTGTAATCTCAAATACTGGATTTGGACATCCAATATAGCTGAAAATGCATTTCTCTTTCCAAATGAATGAATGCTTCTGGTTTGAATTTGTATTTTTCTATAGAGATTTTCTTTTATTTCTATCACATAATTGCTAGAATATTTTTTATTTAAAGTTGTATGTGCTAGTCTAACTCATGTTTCTTAATCCAATAACATACTTTATCTTTTATAGAGAGGAAGGTGTAAAGACATATGTGTTAGGAATGTCCACCTCATCAGTTTTCTCTCTCTTCAAATGCAGTAAGAAATGAAACAAAGTATTTTATCCCAATCTCAACAGTCAGTATCAAGGGAAAAGTGAACAGCACTGCAGTGTGATCGCACTGCTTGCCAGCTCCACAGCCCAAAGGAAGAGATGATCCAGCAATGATTAAGACTTTTTCCTCGATTACTGTGCAGAAAAATATGCTCAGTGAGAACTACTTTGTATTCAAATTCCAGAATGGGCATCCCACCAAGGTGAACAAATCTACTCCACATGGACAGCTACTAGTATTTCACGCATAAAAATGGAATTTTTTTTTTTTTTGAGGCTATCATATCATTATTATTAATAGAAAGTAGTCCCTGAAAGTATGAGGAGTTCAAAATCTGCTGCTGAGACTCTGTCTTGCTATTCATGGTGATGTGATAAAACATGAGCAACTAAAGGAAAAGTGTTATTGCTGGTTTTGAGCCACTATTCTTGTAATGCCTTGGTGCCTTCAGCAGAAGGAAGGTGCCTATTTGCTCACCTCTGTGTTTAGGAAGCATGTCTGTAAAACAGTTTATGTGCTAAGTAGACAAAGACAGGAGGATGAAAACTATTGCCATGTCCATTTTGAGAGGCAAGTTGGAGGGAAGAGGTAGAAAGGGTAAGTGAAGCACAACAAGAGTTGAGGTGTAACAGGTTGGCTCAGCTGGAGGGTTTTGTTGTTTCCCACAATGAAATGCAGTTGTCCCAGCCAAGACACAAGTCTGTGGTAGAGCTGGGCTCCTGACACCATCTCCAGGTTCACAGGGGAAGCCCTTAATCCCCAAACCATCCTTTCTTCTCTCTTTGTATATGAAGATCTGGAGATCAATGTGATTTAAAAGGGGAAAAAAGTGAGTAGTACTTAAAAAAATCTACTAGTTAAACTAGTTTTACTAGTGCAGAGTGATTTTAATTCCATTGTAAGAAAACAAGAGAACTTCCCTGATTCAGAAATAAGCTACTGTCTCATCAGCTTCCAGTTGTTCAAGTAGCACTTTGTTCAATATTTATCTGCTTTATCATAGAGAATTCTTGGCCTTAACTTCTTGTTTCACTAATTTCCTTCAAAATATTGTTTCACCAATGCCAATTCAAACCAACATCCCTCAGCAAGCAAACAATCAAGGAGCAAATTAATGGGGGAAATACTTTTCTGCTGATACAATTTGATGTAGATTTTGAAAGTAAATCCTCTCAATAAGAGGGAAAAGTTACGGAGAGTATTACTGCAATCATCCTGAAGTTAGTTCTGCCTCTTAGGATATCAGGGAACAGTTTGTGTGCATTGATGACATCTTCTCTTACGCTGCAAAAAAACATGCCAAAAAGAAAGCAGAAAATTGTAGTTTAAAAGTAGAAAGAACTAGAAAACCTAAGTCTGTAGAGAAAATAAGGTAGAACCATACCAAGTAATTTATTATGATTTAAATAATGCTACTCACATAAGGTTCACTTTACTTTCACATTTGATAATTTTAAAGGGATCGATATGGGAATAAGTTGTGGTATCAGCATAGAAATTATTTTTTGTAGTTCTTAAGAAAGGCTTATAACAAGTGGTTCTTTATGAAATGTTCTGAGCACAAGAGTATGTGTCCTCACAATGTACTTTTTCGATTATTCTAAACAAAATATAAAATAGCAATCTAATATCTGTATTTATAGTTATTCCCCTTTCATCTTGCAACTCAGTTTTGAAAATATTGATTGCAAGGGGAAAGTATTGCGGTGCTTCATGAGATTCAAAATGAGCTTTTAAGGTCTTGTAGCTGAACCATGCAAACACTTTAGGGGAGACTCCACCACCGCTGCAAAAAAGTAAAGTGAAAGATCTTTTCACAGTGTATATTTTTAAAAAAAGGAAAAGGAAAAAAAACCCCACAAAGCTAAAACGCCCTTTCTGAATGATATTTACTTTTCTTTCACATTAGAAATGTATCATTTTAAGTGCATATGTGTTTCCAATCACCATACCATCTGAGCAGTGTGTAATTTTTACTGTATTTGTGCTCATGACTGCCAGTCAGAATAAGAAAAAGTATAGCTTCATCTCTTCCCAGATGGCAAACAAGGAAATGAGCCATTTGTTTAAAAGAAAAATCTACGGTAAAGCAAGAATCTGAACCTAGGTCTCACGCAAAGCAGTCCAGCATCCTAACTGGGGACATTATGGTGCTCAATAATAAGAAGTTTCAGCGTTAGGAATTCTCTGAGAGATGTTTTTGTCTTGTAACAGTCTGTTTTATTCTGCAGCTGCTTTTTTAACTTTACAACTTACTAACATCAGTTGACTGTCAAATAAGTACCACTGTGAGCTCATGAATAAACATAGTTATCATTTACATATTAACAGCGGGCCTTTAGCTGAAAAGAATCCATTTGTGCTCCTGCAATATCTTAATTATTTACTGTGTTATATTGTAATTAATTGTATTTTACTCTCTCAAAACTCTATAGTATGTATATCTGACGGGGTTTGGAACCAATGCACTAATATTAAAGTGGTAATCAACACTCCTTCTAAATATTCATGCCAATAAATGACTCCCATGTGTTTGCTGAATGCCAAGGATAGTCTGAAGCATTTATTTAGCATTCTAGTGGGATCTAGTTTCTGCAAAGTTCACATAGATGCAGAATTTCAATATTGTTGCTGTTTCGCATGGGGAGAGGGAAAACATGTTTGAATTTGCATGAGCAGTGGGACAGGACACTTAGAAGAAAGCAATGGTATCTCCTTCGCAATCTGTGCTTAATAATGTCTGAGAGCACCGGGGAGTTGTCAGCTATTTTTTATTATAACAAAATTACAATTTTGTTTAGTCTGTGACAGCCTCCTCATAATTTCACTTTTTAATAAATATGTATGCTTTCCCAAATCATTTAAAAATCATTGCATTTCATGGGCGGGGTGCTCTGGCTGTCACGCAGCCAGGGCTCCATCAAGGCACTGCCGTAGCAATCACAAATTCAGACACTTTTCTCAATAAATCAATTAAATACTATACCCCTAAAATTATCCTGCTTCGGGACTGCAATTGACTGACATAAATCTTCAGAAAAGCATATTGAGTGTACGGAGGAACAACTGATTTATTGAGCTACTGGCGGAATTTCAAAACAAGGAAACACTGTCTCGCAATCCAGTAAGTTTGTTTAATGAAATGTAAGTTAAGTGTAAACAGCCTTAAAATATATGTGAGTTCAGTCTTTTGGATTAAGAGTAACTAGCGTATTGTAAACTTTGCTTTCTCATTTGAAGTACAGTTTCAAGAGCCCGTATAGGTGCACTGCCCCTTTCTTCAAACAAGTGTTTCAGCCTCCACTCCCTCCCGCCTCCGAGGGCGAAGGCATCACCAGACCTTTCTGATGCTCTTGCACAGCTTCCACGAAAATAGCGGATTTACCTTCGGATGCTTGAGATGAAAAAGAACTTGTTTTATAATCAGGGGAACGGCAATGTGAAGATTGCACGCAGTCACGATGGTGCTGAAAATACAATCCAGATGTCCCGATCCCTGCTCCATGCTGGAGTGCAACTGGGATTTCCGTATTCTCTGCTGTCGATGTCTTGTTTAGAAAATTCTCTTAAATACTAGTATATACGTACAAATAACTTGTCAGTTGTTCTCACAGGGATACTTAATAATACTGTGGACCATATTTCTAATTGCTCCAAGAGCAATTCTTTTCTTTTTTAAGCTAAAACTTAATTATTCCTTATGAAAAGGTTAAAATACATAGGTTTATGTTTAGTTTCCATGGTGGTCTTAGATCACATGAGCAGTTCTAAATGTGAATATTTAGCGTACTCAGCCTAAGGGGAAAAAAGCGTTTCTGTTGGAGCCACCCTGTGACTGTGATCACAGCACCGCAGGGCTGCTCCTAGTGCAGGAGGTACTTGCTTTGAACATGGGTTTCTTAACCTGAACATGGTCACACAAAGCCCAAACCTGATTACCTATACCTCACTTTAAAACATGGTACGGCAAGATTGAGCATTAATAAGGGATTATATTAGTGTTTAATGCAGTTATGCTGGTACATGGAGAGGAAAAAGAGAAAATTCAAAGCAGCTGTACCAGATGTCTCCTGGAACGGCTATGTACTGCATCACTGTGCTTATCTTCCCAGGTGAGATGCTCTCTGATATGCAAAGTTGCAAGTGATGCCTGAGGGCGCACCATGGTGTCTTGAAGACCCAGGTGTGAAATCCTGCCCTGCCGTGCTGCCTCTCGATGTTTGTCCACCGCAAGCACTTCTCTTTGTAGCTGCTTGCTCCTCCCAAGCAGGGCCTGATCCTGCAACGGCAGACGTGTGTCCAGCTCCCTGGCAGAGCGGGGTGCAGGGTGGTGGGCTCTGGGTTTGGACTCAGCCATCTGTCTTTTCCTTTTTCAGAATCACCCGGCACTGCTGCAGTTTGTAATACAAGCTGAAAGTAAACATCTAGTCATCAATCTGGAGAGAAATGAGTAAGTACCCTTGTTGCATGTTCACTTTGTACTGAGGGTTCTCAGAGAAGGGTTGTAATTTTAAAATTGATGGTTTAAAATAACCTGAGGCAAGTTTGTCCCTCACAGAACAGGCCCCTAACAAGAGAGTTTTATTCCAGTTTGGGTTGTCTGTATTTGCACACTGCTTATAGAGCAAGAATCTCTATGGTCATTTGCATTTATGTGGGACTGAAAATGGACACGTTGCCTCTCAGTGTTTTCCTGTTGATCATTATTTTTATTTGGTTTGGGTTTGTCCTCCTTTCCTGTGGTAAGCTCTTTATTTACAGTCATGTGGAAAACCTTACAGCCTCTGGCACTGTTTCTGGAGGACTCGTCCCTCCAGGCACTGCCGGTGACCATGGTTGCCTCCGTGCAGTGGCTGTCGGCTCTGCTCGGGGAAGATGAGTCAAGGATTTGGGCTTAAACCCTGCTGGACTTCTAAAAGGGAGCTCCATGGGTTTGCTGGCAAGGGGCTGATGATGGGATTTTTGTGCTGCTCACGAGGCCCGTGACCAAAGCTGAGCTTGAGCCCTTGTTTGTGTGCTGTAAATATTGCATCTTCTTCCACGTGCTCTTGACAACTCCCCTTATGTCCGTAAGCTTTCAGAGAGTGATACCAGGGGCTGCTGTTGAGATGGTCCCACGGGCAGAAACCCAGCAGAGTTTTTCACAAAGAGGTACAGAAACACACAGAAATAAAGTCACTTCTCTGAAAGTCTGCGACAAGGGGAACCAACGTCATCAAAGCCTTAGTCTGCCTTCTCAACTGTTCAACTGATTTTCCTCTAAGAATATCTCAAGAATATATTGTGGGAATCCAGATCAGGACAACTATGTGCTACTTGGCAAAGATCACTCTTAGCCTAGGGAAAACTTTTTATAAATGTTAGCAAGGATCTATGTGTTCTGTAGGTTTCCCTGCTGTGAAATAAAAGCAAAAGCGGTATTTTTTTACTGTAATAGAGAGACTGTAGACGTAAGTGGCACAGCTTTATGTGTTAAGAGGAAGGAATGTGCATGTGAAAGCAAATGTCCAAGGGAGGCCGGGTACATGCTGCCTCGGGCTGGTGATGGACAACTTCAATGGAAAACGACGGGGCACCCCTTTAGTCCTCTGCTGTAAAACAACAGAAAATGCTTTTTATTTCCAGTCGTTTGGATGAACCCTAACATTACCCAACAGTGATAAAATCCAGTTAGCTTCATTATTCAACATCAGGCCCAAATCTTCAGCTTTCCTTACATTATTTTTAATGCTCCTTGGTTGTTCATTTCCTGTTCTTGAAGGGTATGTAGATTCCCAAGCATAGGTTGCTCTGTTTCAGTAACTAGAGGAGGATTAATTCCTTTAGTAAACAGGGATTTAACTTTATATTCTCTTAATCTTTGTCAAAGGGTGTGCCTTCCTTCAGGAATGGGAAGTATGCAGCAATTGAGGAAACTATTTACATTCCATGTCAGCGATTAAAAGAACATAAAACTGCTAATACAGGCCTTGCTGAACATACCAACCTCTCTTGTACCTGTGATAAAGTCAGATTTAGAAAATTGTAAGATGCAATCTCCACCCCTTTTAAGTGTAGGACCTGAAAGTATAGTAAATTAACTCTGTGAGCATCTGTCTGACTAACCAGATTTGGAGATGTTGAGATCTGCTCCTTAAGAAATACAGCATTTATCAATGATTATTTTCTAGTTTACCTGTCTGGTGGAGTGTCTACCAGAAGATTTGCATTCTAGAAGACTTCTGTATGGTGTTAACATGAGGTTCCTCATCTTAACAGGAGCTCCTAGGTAGTATTGTAAAACGCTACAATTAGCCTTGCCTGTGATTGGCATTTGTAGTGTATGAGGCGGTTCATAGATCCCAAACCACACAAAAAAGTTGGTCATGGTTTTGCAAAATCATTTCTTCCTGTTCTCCGGTATTACTGACTTTGATTTTTCAGAAGAAATAATGGTCTGAGTGTTGCAAGTCTGTGCAGAAGTTGCTTTGATAGGGGTGTGTGCAGGTCTATGTGTTACTGGTTTCTGTCAATAAGCCAGCGCATCAGTCTGCATGACTGGTCTATGCTCCCCGGGGCAAACAATCTCATGCTGCTTCCAGGGGGTCCTGCAGGTTCATGGAGTGAAAAATAATGTCCAGGAGATAAATGAGAGAATACATGTCTGCAGAGCAGAGGATGGGGAACAATGGCCGGTGGCAGCGGGCCAGACTGGTCCTAAGGTAGATGATGGGCTCCAGAGGTGTGAGAAGGTCATCGCATGCCTGGGGAAGGGAGAAATGTTTCCACACTACAGCTCTGGCCCATGAGGCTGCAGAGAGGACCAGCGGATGTGCATACAGACCCTGCCTCCTCCAGCCTGCTACATCTTCCTGATGTTGGCATGAAACGTGCAGTTCAAATATCTTGAAAGCATTGATGCTGAGCATTGGAGTAGCCATTAAATCAGCATGCTTTAGGCAGAAGCAGAGTGCTAAACACAAACATATTTTCTTGAGTAGTAAGTGACAACACATATGATGCTCTGATACGTGTGATGTTATTTTACTGTCGTTTCATGTAAAGCATGTTATTCCTTGGAGAATGGTGGGGGTGGAGGTGGAGGTGGATGGGTCCCCTAAATTACATAATTTCTGCATTGGGTCATGCAAAAAAAAAACTGGATGTGATTTTCCATGGTTAGTAGAAACAGCTACTTTGAGTAGTCTTGACATAAAACTCCATTTATTGAAAACCTTAGAGATTTTCCAAACCTTGACTTGTATTTCAAAACATGATTCCGATGCATTAGGCAACCCCAAGTGGGGACTGATGTGTTAAACCATCTGTTATCTATGGAAATATTTAATGTCAGTTTGGTGTTTTCTGATATTTAGACTCAGCAAGATGTGTTCATATGTATTGGGCAAGATGTGGTAAATTAGTTCTGGAAGAGTTATTGGAACCTAACTTCACAGCTTAGGGCTTAAAATCTTCTCTTTGGTTTCCAGCTGTTAAGTTTACTTTTGTACATATTCATTAAATAGTTTCGTGATTAATTTTCAGGCATTGCACATTTGTAACTGCAACACCAAAATTATTCGCCGTGAATTCAATTTGTCAATCATAGAAAACCTGCTAGTGAGCTTATGTTGCAAGTACATTTCTTACTAGGATTTAGTTGCAAAATATGATTGCACTCTTGAGAACCTTGAGCTCTGTAGTATCTTAAATGTTTTAGAAACACTTGTCATATGGAGAGATTTCCAGAATCAGCAAATCATCAATCAGCTGCAAAATAAACCACCCTTCAGAGCAGCTGACTCTACTGGTGTGCGTTGCATCAATAATACTGATGCACTTCTGTTGTGCAAGGGACAGTAATGTATGCACATATAAATTCCTTTAAAGTTGATTGCAGCATGTGGGTCTGAGAGGAAAGTAAGCTTACTGTTGTGTAAATGAAACAAAACCCTTGTAAGATTAAATCTGAGTTGGAGAGTGGAACGGTATGTGACTACTGGCTGTTTTTCTGCAACTGGAAACATTTTACACTGTCAGAAATAGGGCTATATACAGCAAAGTACTTAAGTGTTCTTTTAACTTTAAACATATGAGTAATCCAGGTAAAGTCAGTGGAATCACTTATTTTCAAAATTAATTTCATGCTTAAATGATTTGCTGACGAAGGTCATAATTATGAATGTCAAAGAAATACAACTTTGAACAGATGTTAGAGAGCTTTTTCAGTGCTGACTCCTGTATATACCTGAGTCCGTGGCAGATAAAGATAAAAAGCTGAGGTAAGTCGAGAGGACATGAGGGCAAGTATGGAGGTAGGATGGCTTTGCCCTGAGGACATCAGCAGCATCTCAGGTGATCCCTGGACAGTTTCCTTCCGGTGGGAATTCGATGCCCAGCTTTGCAGAGGGAGCAGCGAGGGTGCGATCAGTGCGGTTGTGGCTGACGGGCCGTTGGCGATGTCCCGGGGAACGTGGAAATGGAAAGACAACCCTAGTGTTTTGGAGAAGCAGAGTTCACTATTCATTTCCCCATAACTTTATGCTCTTTTTTTGTCAGGTTTATAACACAGCCTTTAACAAAGCGATATATAAAAGGGAATATATCAGGTTAGATTGCCGCCTTTTATTCTCCCAGTAAAAATTCTCATAATCAGGAGGCAAAATCCACCCCAGGCCATGGTATAAGTCTCCATCTTATCCTTTAAATCCCCTAGGATCCCAGAGACCTCCCGATGTTTAGAGCATCATGACTGTCCCCCTTGCACATCTACCACTTCTACCCAGAGACACAGTATCAGGGATGGATGGGGACGGCATGGTCCAGTGTTGGAGGTCACTTTGAGAGCTTGGCTCCGGGACAGAGAGGGTTCTAGCAGCATTCCCTCGGGCAGAAAAGCGGGCGATAGGCATCTTCATCCACAGTGCTAATGTGACCTGTTACAGTGAGGCTTTAGCGTTCAGAAATCCTTTGTGTTCTTTTTTGGTTAAAAAAAAAAAAAATAATAAAAATAGTTCTCTCTTCTGCCTGACCTTTCTGAATAGGAGCGCTGATTGGTGTGCAAGTGACATTGTAGCTGGATTAATTTAGCAGGGAAACAACCCATTTCCAGTGCCAAAGAAGAGAGCTGACAAAATTTGTTAATGAATTGACACGCTTGTATACAATCAATGGCTCGAAATACAGATAGAGGAAACAAATCTAAACAAACAAATAGCAAATAGAGAAACAGGACCTTTCAAATATACTTGCTATTATAATTCTGTGCTGTAACTTAGCCAAAAAACTGTGACCCCTGACTGTTTTATCTGCAAACGCTGGAGCTGGCAGCTGTACTGCAGCGTTTCAGCGTGAGCTGACAGTTGGGATTTCACTTTAATTGAAGTAAAAGTTTCGCTTTAATGGAAGTAACAATTTTTGCCTTCTGCAATGGCAACAGTCAAATGGTCTACACCGCACTGACACGTGGAG